TTTTTTTTTTGAAGATCCTCTAAGTGCTTACCAAAAACAATCGCTGCTTCGTTCCAATGCTGATCGACCATTTGCCAGGGTTTAGGACAAATGGCTTTCCAGCTACAGTTACTTCTTTGACAGCTGGCTCCTCAGTTGGCGGAAAAGTAATCTTTTCGGACTGTTCGATATCTAAAAATCGTAAAATTGCGAGCACTGACTGTTTGCAATAGGTCAGATATAAACTCTCATAGAATTGGTATATTAGCTACAATTTAGTTTTTGTAGTTTCTCTCTTCACACTCTTTTATTCCAGCACACCTCTCCCCTCCCTACCCACCTCCGCTCTTCAAACATATAAATTCTTGAACCATTATGCAACTAAATACGAACCAATTACTTTTTCTCTAAAGCATGCTTTGGATTATATGGCTTATTCTAATTGCTGCAATCGTAGAATCAATACATTTATTAGGAAATCAACAGTGTTCGTCGAGAAGGGACATACTTAGCCTTACCACCCTCTTGCAGGTGATTTTACCCCGCCCTTTCCCTTCCCTTGATAAGATTTTTGGGATTGTCTCAAGAAATGATCTAATAACAGCCTGTCGTTACTGTATGCTTTTTAAAGGTTGTGTCATACATAGTTGTATAACGGGAATAATAATTTATGCAGTGACTGTAAACGTTCTTCCTGTCATCAATATTATGTGCAAACTTACCCTGAGTATGCGTCATTCTTGGCGCGACAGCTACTACTGCTGTGATGGGTACTGGAGTTGGATTATGGTATTTAAACAGAAGTTTGTAGACCGACGACTATGAAAACATTGTTGATTAGGTACAGATGGCTGTCAACCTCTGTTATTACCTTTGCGACATCAATATCCAGAATGATCTTCTCCTGAATCGGCGAAAATACAGCATAACCCCTCCAGCTATAGTTCTTGAACTGGTCCTCATCGACAGCAAAACGAACAGGTCTGTTATCTTCGGTATGCCCATCTTCGGCTTCGTACTAAATTCAAGGATTTCTTCCTTTTCATGCACCAAACAAACCCTTTTGAGCGCACTTGGTTATGCCAAAGTGTTGGGAAGAAATGATTTTCTATGGGTTTGTCGCATCGCAGGCCAGTCACTCTCGGGCGGCATCGACATTGCCCAGTTTCACCATCGCAATCCGCTCGAAGCGCACCACCAATATCGCAGTTGCAGGCTAAAAATAATCCATTCATTTCCGATTCGTAATTCATCTAGCGTTTATTCGTGTTAAATCATAATTTTTATAAAAATGCTCCCTTACGTTCACATCCGAGCTGATTGTATCCTTGCAAATTGTAAAAACCGTCACCACATTTGTCGCATTGACGTCCACCTGCGTTTCGTTTACAAACGCATTGCCCCGATCTAAACAATACACATACTTTTATGCCATGGTCGTGATTGCAGAATAAACACTAAGAGCAAAGAAAAATCGCTCAGTAAGCACAGAAAAAGGAGGCTCACTTCATATCGCACGTATCGAACATAGAAAGTGTTCCATTCAAATGGCAGCCGCATTCTGAAATTTAAGAAATTGCTTAGATATTACTATGGAAGTTTCGAGATTGAGTTATAAAGTATTTGGATATAAAATATGAAATATGCTGATTGCACATGATGTTTCAATTTTTGATTCCAAAAAAAGTTGTTCCCTTCAAAATTTAGATTGAATCCAATTGCATGTGCGCTCGCGTTGCCATTATGTAGCGCGACCATAAGTTTATGCACATTCCTTGAATTTCAGTCAAGAGTTTTTTATTGAAATACCAAAGCAGTTGAGTCATTCTACTAATTTAGATAAGTTCAAATATAAAAGCGAGATATCCATTTATCAAATTAAAATTACCTTTTTTTT